CGCATCGGTTGCCTCCATTACCGGCGGAGCTATTCTCGCGCCCACACCACACCTGGCTCCAACGTGGACACGCCCATACCTGGGGACACAACTAGGTCACGCATGGCATCAGAAGTTCTGTCTCTGGGCCCCGAAAGGCATCACACACACACACACACACACACACACACACACACACACACACACACACACACACACACACACACACACACACACACACACACACACACACACACACACACACACACACACACACACACACACACACACACCACACACACACACACACACACACACACACACACACACACATGCATGCACAGACACACAGCCCCTTCCCCTCCCCCCTCAAGACCTTCCCAAGGGCGAGGACACACGCAGGCCGCACCTCTAGGAGAAGGATAGATAGACAGACTCACGGGCCAAGAAAGAAAGAATTCCGTGCGAAAATGGCGCGTGCGGAGCTTTTAGCACACGAGAAACCCTCCCCTCGGCGGCGGCGGCATCGCTTTGGAATTTCCTATTGATGTCGAAACACCGCTACTGAGAGAGCCTGAGGGAAGCCTGAAAAAGTAAAAAGAGCACCTTGGTGCAGCGTGAATTGAGTCTTCCGTCATCGCATTCGCCCTGGGACCCAGCGCTGACTTCTGACTGTCGTTGCGGTCTATCCCTTTCTCGACTGTCTGAGCTTGTGCGTCTTGGGTCGTGCTTGTGTTTTTGTGTCAACCTCTCACAGACCAGCGCACAGCGCCATTCGAGGTATTTTCTTCTCAATAACAAGGCTGTGAATTGAGTCATGTCCGACGCTCCGCGCTGGACGACGCCGGAGAACGTGGCCCTGATCGCCGCTCTGCGCGAGAATTTGAGAGCAGAGCACCGCATCGACACGAGCTCTGACCCTCGGCTGTGGCTCACGGGCGACGTGAGGCTGCTGCGCTTTCTCGAGGGGCACGGCTGCGACCCGGCTGCCGCCGGCGCCGCCTTTGCTGCGATGATGGCAGAGAGAAAGTCGGCACACTGCGACGCGGACGAGATCGCAGGTCGGCTCGTTGCGGCCGCCGCGCGCTTTCCGGGCGAGGAGATGTCCTTCAACAAGTGCCGAATGTTGCTCGCACTGCTGCCGTCCCGACACACTTCTCTCAGGCGCGCGTAAGTGTGGTAGGTACCTGGAGGTTGCAGTCGACTCAGACGTCGCGCTCGTGCGCCGCGTCCGCGCGGCGCTGCCGGCGGTGGAGCAGTTTGCCGACACGCGGGACAAGCTCGACCTGAGCGACGTCCTCTTCTTTGGCAAGGCGGACGTGGCAATGCTGCTCGCGCCAGAGCTGGGCGAGGCGGGGCTCGCGCAGTACTACACCCTCGTGCTGGAGCACAGGTCGATGCTGCTCGACAGCCGCTCGCGGCGCAGCGGCCAGATGGCCAAGCTGCTGATGATCCGCGACTTTGAGGGCCTCTCGCTCGGCATGCTGCAGCCGAGGGCGATGCGCGTGGTGAGCGCGCGCCTCGGCTGGATCCAGCGCTGCTTCCCCGAGTTTGCGCGCGCCATCCTGCTCGTCAACACGCCGTGGGCCTTCGCCGCGGCGTGGAGGATGGTCTCGGGCCTGCTCAACGCGAGGACCAAGGAGCGCGTGCAGGCCTTCTCCGCCAAGGAGCTGCCGGAGGCCAGGGCGCGGCTGCTCGAGTTTGTGGACGCGAGCGTGCTGCCCAAGCGGTGGGGCGGCGAAGCCGACGACGCCTGCTGCCTCCCGCCCATACCCTAGCGCGCCGGGTTCTGTGCGCGCGCTGGGTGGGGGAGGCGCGGGGCGGGTGCGGCAACGCGCTAGCGTGACAGGGTGATTCTCAAGAGTCTTTTTCTGAGCGGGGGAAGAGTGACCGCTCGAGGCTTGGGGGCGGGGTTTGTCACTGTGTGTCTAATCTGCGTCTGGCTGGCGCGGCGCGGAGAGGAAGACCAAAACGTAAATAAATGCGCGCAGCACACGTCGACCCGACTCATCACTGAGCCCTGGTCTGACAGCCTGATTGCATAGCAAACCCCCCGGACAGCGCCTGACAGTGCCCGACAGCCTGACAGCGCTGACAGCACTTTCTCCGACAGTCTGACAGCACGTCTCTGACAGCCTGACAGCAGAGCCTGACATCAGAGGCGTCCCGTCGCAGTCAGGCCCTAACGTGACAGCCTGACAGCTGCCCGACAGCCCGACAGCACACAGCGGCCTGACAGCAGCGCTGACAGCCCGACAGCCCGACCAGCCCGACAGCAGCACAGACCGTCTCAGGCCGTGCAGCCTCTTTCTTGTGTCCCATGAGGGTATAGCAAAACTATTACATGCAAAGACATGTGTATGTGGTCCGCGCCTTCGATTCTGTGGAGTCCGCGCCAACCTCTGTGCACAGACCGGCTTCTTCAAGCAGCCGTGCTTGCACTTTCCTCTGGCTGACACATATGTCCAGGGTGGCGCGCTCCGCGTTGCTGGAGGAGCCGGGAGAGAAGGAGGATGATCCAAACGGCACACCCGATGCTGAGCCGGCCGAGCTGACCGCCATGGGCGCACAGGATGCTGCAGATGCCGAGGCCGTGCTGAACCAGCTGATGCGGACGGGGGCCAACGTGGCGCCTCCAACCGGCGGCGAGGAGGGCAGCAGCGCAGAGTTTTTTGAGGAGATCCGTAAGCTGCTGGCAGATTTCAACGTCTCCATCCAGGAGGAGTCAAAGGATCGCAAGCTCCGCTTCCACGTCAAGCGGCTCATCAAGTCCCATCAGCAGCGAGGCGAGGATGTGGATGAGGAGCTCGACTTCTACATGGATGATGATGACGGTGACCACGCCCTTGCCGCCTGTCACACACACACATAAGACGTGCATTCTCATCTCTCCCTCTTCTCTTTCTCTCCGCAGTTGCGGTGCTCTTCACCATGGAGGACAGCTCCAAGGTCTTTGCCATTGGCAACATCGAGCAGGTGGCCGTCGCCGACGGCACGGTAGACGCGCGCCGCGCCACTGGCAGCTCGAGCGCAGAGTACCTGCGCCAGCTCTCGATGAGTCAGCGCAGCAACGGGGTCTTCATCAACGACCCCAAGGGCCTCTTTATCCTCCGGTGGTACCGTGAGGTGAAGGGTGACGGGACCCCCCCAGACGGCCCGCGGCCGCGCTACCAGAACAGAGCGTGCAAGTACTACAAGCTGACGAGCGACAACGATGGGGAGGCCTTCCGCTTGGACCAGCAACTACCAGATCATCAGCAAGGTGTACCTGAAGAAGCACTCCCCCCTGCCTCTCTGCTATTCTCTCAGTGCGGCAGACAAGAAGATGGTGACGTCCACCATGAACGATGAAGAAGTGGTGGGACCGGAGGCAGAGTAGAGACAAGAGTATGTGCAGCAGAGTCCTGCTGGTCTCCTCTTGATAATGTCATAAGTGTTGACAGCAGCAGCAGCCTGACAGCTCTGACAGCTCCGACAGCGTCTGACAGCAACACCCGACAGCTCCGACAGCACCCGACAGCTACAGATCCCCTCTGATGTAAGACACGCACCCGACAGCACCCGACAGCACTGACAGCACCCGACAGCTGGTCTGACAGAGGCACCTGACAGTGCCTGACAGCTGCCCGACAGCCCGACAGATCACCTGACAGCACCTGACAGCCTGACAGCCAGGGCTCAGACTCATCAGACATCACACATGGCATCTCAAACGAGCACGTCCGGCCTCCCCTCCGCGCGCGGAGAACTTACATGTATTGTGTGCAATTATGGCGGTGGCACACGACATGCACATGTGCATGCACATGCACATGTGCATGTGCATGTGCATGTGAGATGTGTGGGGTCTGGGGCGGGTGTGTGTGGCAGGGCCAAAGGGCAAAGCGCTGTGCCACAGGCAACGTCGGCAGTGCCGGTGGATTAAGATTGAGGCGCTGGTACGGGGTTCAGCTCGCTGAGGGCTTGCTCTGCGACTGCAAGGATAGCGACTTGGCCTGCTTTGTGTATGTCGCCCCCGCAGGCGTGAACGAGTCCGTCCAATTTTAGCGCTTGCTGGTACCACTCCTCGACTTCCAGCAGAAGACCCTTCGCGGTGTAATCACTCGAGCACTGCTGGACTGCATACTGGTACAGCGCCATGTTGCGCGCCTCATCGTCATATCTGTCGCAAATGCGCGGATCCGTATACCAGTTTGGGAGATTGAGTCGATGGTGCAGTATAGGGAAAGAAAAAGTGCCATCCTCAACCTCGACCAAGTTCCAAGGTGTAGCGGAGGGCAAGGCGATGCCGCCGCCGCCATCGCCGCCATCACCGCCCGTGCCACCGCCACCGCCACTAACGCTAGCACCGCCAGCACTGCCAGCACTGCCGCCAGCACTGCCACCGCCGCTAGGCGCAACAACGTTGGTATGCAAATCCAACGGCACAAACGTTTTGTACTTAACGGACAGCTTCAGCGTGCCGTCTTCGGGCTGTCCGAAGTCGGTAGCCTTGGGAATCTCCCAGGAAAGCGGCGGCGAACCAGAGAGCAAAAGGACCAGCGCATCGCCGTGGCTGACGTCCTTGTGCTTTCGCTTTGCGGCACGGCTCAGATCGCTGCTGTCGTTGATGAGGCAGTACTGAAACCTCTTCTCATAGGAGGCCGGTGCATCGCGAAAGCCGGCGGCGGAGCCACCCTTGGGCCGCAGCTTTAGAAGCTCATCACTCGGGACGCGGCGGATGCTGTGGAGACGCACTGCAAATCCATCTTTGCATTGCGCGCAAACGCGCTCCCACGGCTGTTTGCTCGCGGATGTGGTCGGGCCCGGGCCATGCCCGCCCGATAGGCACGTTGCGCCTAGCCGCTGCGCAAGGCAGACGGTGTGCGCTGCCATCTGCGCTCCGCGCTACGTACACATCCGCAAATGGATCCGCAAATTCATTTTCTTTCTGAAATTCTTCAGTTGTTTTACTTCCAACACGGAGAGAGAGAGAAAGAGAGAGAGAGATAGTACGTACACCGGAGCGCAGTGCACACATGTGGAATGGCAAATATGGACGTGCAAAAACTTCGGGGGGGATGTGCGCAGAAAAACCAACCGAGACACATAAAAAGCCAAATTGAGAATGAATGTGGGTCGGCGGCTTGGGTGAGTTCTGTGCATGTCTCACAGTGGGCAATCCTCCTGGTTGTCCTTAAACGCGTAGCGCGTCATGCGGTCGTCGAAGCCGTCCCCCTGCAGCAGCTCGACTTGCACGTACGGCTGTTTGTCGGGTTTGATTTGCAAGAGCGCGATGCGCCCCGCGTACGACCGCGAGCTCAACCAGTCACCACCCTCGCGTGGCTTCGCCTCCTCCAGCGAGCGGTTGTAGCCCTTTTTGAATGCCGCCATGATCGAACGTGTGTGCAGGTGCACCTGCGAGTAGTGCTTCATCTTCACAATGGGGTGCGCATGCAGCCGGCGCTTTATCTCGCCCACCTCGGTCTTGGCGTGGAACGCGACGTCAGTGATGACGTCCTCCGCGCGGTCCGATCCGAAAGTCTCCGCGTCCTTGGGCCCAAACGTGAGGCAGCTGCCATCTCGCAAGCCCTCCTTGACGCAGCCGAAGCCGCTCTCAAAGGCCGCGTCCGCCTCCGCCCGCAGCTCCGGTTCGATAGTCTTGTTTGTGCCGATGGTCAGCCTGAAGTTGCTTTGCTGCTCCCGCCGTGGCAGCTCTTCGGGCAGAGACTTCGGGTCCACATACTTGCGGCCATTGATGTAGACCGAGGGCGCCCGCCGGATCTTGAAGTCGGGGTACATCCACGCCCCCTCCTCTTTGTTGCTTCGGCTCTTGGATGAGCGCGGGGCGGAGGTGGAGGGCGTCCCCGACGACGGAGGCGCCGGCAGCGAGGGCCGCGACGGCGACGCGAACGGTGCGTGGCGTGATTGCGCATCGTGGCGATACTGCGCAAACACGTCGGCCTCGTCGGCCTCGCCAGCCGCGTCGACCCCCGCGCCCTCGTCGGCCTCGCCAAACTCGGCAGGTACGTCTGCCGTACGGTTCATATGTCCTCCAGAAGCGTCAGCCGCGACACCCTCGTCCACGCGCGGTCCCGCACGCACCTCCAGCACCTCTCCGCCCTGCAGATGGACTTGGTCCCCAGCCAGCAACTCGAAAGTCATCCCTCGATGCACCTGCTGCCAGGTCTCGCTGCCCGCTCGCCGCACGCTCGTGGGGTCCTCGCCCTGCGACTCAACAGCCACATGTCCCGCGCGGCCAGTAAAAACAGCCACGTCATCATATACCCACAGGCTCGGCGGCTCCATCGTTCTGCCGATTGGGAAGGGCTGTTCAAAGGGAAGCGCGTGAACGCAGCCCTCCTTTGGAGGCGCGTGCACCAGCTGCCAGTCACGCTCGGCTAGGGCTGTGCCCGTGCGCGCCTTTTGCGACGTCTCCTCCGGTTCGTCCACCTCGGTCTCGATGCCGCTGTTGAACCCGGACGCGTGCAGCGCGGCCGCCTTTGCCTTGGCGGCGCAGTCGTGGCTGTGGCTGCGGTCGTCGCCGTTGCAGCCGCGGCAGCAGGTTCTGTGGCCGCCGAACGCAGGTCGGCCGCAGCCGTTGCAGCACGACCGGAGAGGAGAGGCCATGCGGGTGGTGACTGGACTTGCGGCCGCAAGTGTAAGACGGGCGGATCGCGCGGAACTTCCGTGTTTCCAGTTGAGGTGCTGGTCTGGCGAGGTACTTCCAGTCTCGCCAAGGCTCGCCCCAGCATCCAGGGTTGACTCCACCAGATAAAAACGCAGAATTGGACTACGCCTGTACGCCGGGTGCGGGTGGCATCTTGGATTGAAATCTGGCCCCTTTCTTCCTTCCTGCCGAAGGGGGTGCTAGTGTGCGCCAGACTCAGCCAAAGTCGCACGCGATTTCTTGTCCAGCTTCGGTGTGCTGCGGCGCTGGCCTCGCATCGTTGCCGAGAACTCCATGCGGACACACCTCCGCTCGCTGTCCAGCCGCGCCCGCGCGCCTGCTGGCGCGCTCAGGAAGCTCAACGCCTCCGGCAGCATCTCCGAGCTGCTGGCCGTGCACCGAGCTGGCGGCTCGGACTTTGACTCGGTCGCCGTCGGTGCCATGTGGACGCGGCTGCGCCGGCTCGCACGGCGAGAGCCAGCGTGGGTGCGCTCGCCGCGAGCGGCGGCGGCGCTGCGGCCCGTGTGCGATCAGACGAGGGTGATGCTGAGCGGACTGTGCGCGCGCACAGTGGCCAACATGCTGCATGCGCTGGCGACGATGCGGCTGGTGCGGGGCGGGCCGTGGGAGCCGCTTTGGCGCGATGCGGCGGCCGACGTGCCCGGCCGCCTGGCAGAGTTCAACGAGCAAGAGCTCGCCAACCTCACCTGGGCCTTCGCGCAGTCGGGTGCCGCTCCGCCGCCGCTCATGCGCACCCTGTCGGCAGAGGTTCGCGTGCGCTGCGGCGGGTTCAAGCCACAAGAGCTCGCCGCAGCGGCGAGCGGCTTCGCTCGCGCCCAGGCCCTCTCGCCCGCTCTGGCCGCGGCCCTCGCCGACGCCACTTTGGCGAAGCTCCCGTCCTTTGGGCCGACGGAGCTCGCAAACACCGCGTGGGCGCGCAGGGATCCCCGTACACGCCGTCCGCACGCGAGGGGGTCACGCCCTCCGCCGCTGGGATAGGCGCACGCGCGCGCCGGGCAGGCAACAAAGGGGTCGGCGCCGCTGATGGCGGCCATCGCCGCCGCCGCCGCGCCCATGGCGTCCGACTTCAAGCCGCCCGAGCTGGCGATGCTGGCCTGGGCGTACGGCTCCGCAGGCGGGCCTCGGCCGCCTGGCCTCTTCGAGGCCGTCGCGGCGGCGGCCGGCGCCAAGGTGGATCAGCTGCGGCCCCAGGAGCTGGGCAACATCGCTTGGGCCTTTGCGCGCGTCCGCATCGCCGACGACGCCCTCTTCGACGCCTTTGGCGGCGCGTGCGAGCGGCGGGCGGCGGCGCTCGAGCCGCAGCACGTCGCGATGCTCAGCTGGAGCTGCGCCACGCTGGGCTACGGGTCGGCGGCTGGGGCGGGAGGCGGCGACGCGGCCGGCCCGTCGCGCCTGCTGCAGGTGCTCGCGGCGCGCACCCTCGCGCTCGGGCCCGAGGCGTTCACGCCGCAAGGTTTGGCGAACGTCGGGTGGGCGTTTGGGCGGCTCGAGCGGCCGGCCGGCGCGGCGGGCGGGTCGCACTGGGCGCCGCTCTTCGCCGCGATCGACGCCGAGGTGAGCCGGCGGCTGGGGGAGGGGGGGCGGTCGCCCTTCTCGGCGCAGGAGCTGTCCAACCTCGTGTGGGCCTTTGGGCACGTGCAGGGCGGCTCGGCCGCCTTTTGGGCCGGCGCGGCCGGCGCGGCGCGGCATCACATCGGCGCGGCGCCCGCCGGGGCGATGCGGGCGCGGGAGGTTTGCGGGCTCGTCTGGGGGTTCGCCCGCTCGCCGCATCTCGACCCCGAGCTCCTCGACGACCTTGCCGCCGACGTGAGCGTCCGGATCGACGCGCTGGTCGAGGCGGCCTCCTGCCGAGCTCCCCACGGGTGGAAGAGCTCGAGCTTGGGCGAGAGCGAGGGAGAGAGACCTGGGTGGAACCACTTCCAGAACGCCGTCGCCGCGCGCGCGCGAGGTGGCGACTTCCACCCGCGCGAGGTGTCGTCGCTCGCAAACTCGTTCGAGGTGGCGGCCGCCTCGTGCAGCGACGCGGCGCCGCCCGCGCTGGCGGCGGTCGGCGCGCGCTGCGCCGCCATCGTCGGGCGAGGCGCACAGTCGGCGGCGCTGCTCCGCCTGTGCTACCCTGCCGAGGGGAGGCCGCCCGACTCGCCCGGCCACCTCGTCGCCGGGGCAGCGCACGCGCGGGCGGCCGCGCAGGCGGGCGGCTCCGAGGAGAGCCAGTCTTTGCCCGACCTCTGCTTCGCGATCGAGGTGCTCCCGCAGAGGCTGCGCCCCGCCCCCGCTGGGCGCTCCATTGCCCCCTCACCCTCGGGGCTGCTGCCTAGGCGCTCGCGCGGGCGGGTGCCTTCTCGTCGGCAGAAGCTGAGGCGGCACAGCCGCCTTCGTTGGCGATGGGCGCCGCTGGCGCTGCTGTTGCGGGGGACGCAACCTCGGCGCCGCCGCCGCCGCTCGCGCCCGAGGCCACGGCGGACGCGGCCGTCCCTCTTGGCAACTTGGATGCGCTCGCTGACATCGAGCCGCGAGCGAGCGGTGGAGGCGGTGCGGACGGCGGCAGGTCGGCTTGGGAGTATTTGGTGCGCCAGCTGGGGATGAGAGCTTTGCGCAGAGGCGACGGCGCCGGCGGAGAGAATGCTCCGCGCGCCGCGCGCGGGGCAGAGGCGGTGCAGCGGGTGCTGCACACGTGGTCGCCGCTCAGTTGGTTGCGTCGCAGGGAGGAGAGGCAGACGCAGAGAGGAAAAGGCGAGGAGTAGCGTACGTCACAGCTGCGGAGAAGCTGCATTATCTGTCGTCCTCAAAGCAGATATGTGAGACGGTCTCCCCACGGCTCCCGGACTCGACTGGCGTCAGGAAAGTGCCCCCCCCCAGTCGCCAGTGGGAAGTGAGATAGTGTGAGATGGTCTCGACTCGAAACTCGAACCCCGCCTGCGCACACACGATACTGCGCGCCCGTTCTCGAGCGCCCGTTGTGCGCACATCGCACACTCTGCCCCGGTGACGTGGTACCATGCGCGCGAGCGGGGCTGCGTGTACTTGAGAGTCGGCACGACCGGCCCCCCGCTGATGTAAACTCGTGCGCCAGCTCGACTCCAACTACGGGATGCCGGACTCGAGCCGGTCATCGTCGGCACGCCGCTCCTCGTCAAGCCGCTTCTGCCTATTGGCCGAGAGAGGAGGGGCGCCGTGAGGCGGGGCGCGCTGGCCGCGCCGCGTCCACAGCCCCGCGGCTCGGCCACCACATCGGCCGGTCGTCTACCCCTTGGCCGCCCGCTTCGTCTTCGACGGCGATCGGAGTCGCGAGCAGCTTCGTTATCTCTTCCTGCGCGCAGGGGAGGCCGCCTCAGAGGCGTGGCCGGCACAGCGCCGAAGGGTGGTGCGCTCTCCTGCACGGCGCCATTCTCGGTCTTGGCGTAGACCGAGAGCGCCCCATTCTCCTCGCGCGACACGCGCAGCGTCTCGCCGACGAAGGCGGCGCTCCAGCGGCACGGCGGTGGCTGCGCCTCGAAGCGAGCCGCGCCGTCGTACTCGACGCGGGTGTGGTCCTCGACCACGCCGAGCGCGCCGCTGCTCGCCAGGGTGCCGAGGTAGTAGTCGCCCTTGGCGGCGGCGAGGAGCGCCTTCCCCGCCTCGCCGTCCGCCACCACCTCCACCGTCTGCAGGGACGGCGTCTCGCTCCCCTCCGGCGGCGAGAGGAAGGTCTGGTAGCTGCCCAGCACCGTCCTGGCGGGCGGCTTGCCGCAGCCCGTGCCGCCGGACGCCGCCCGGCTCGAGGAGGTGGTGAAGAGCAGCTTCCTGCAAATGAAAGAGGGGAGGGAGGGCGGTCAGCCTCCTCCTCTCGCCTTCTCGAGATAGCAGCCGAGGCAGCGGAGGCGAGCGCTCCAGAAGCCGAGCAGCGGCGCGCGAAGCTCCTCCTCGGCCGACGGCGCGCGGAAGCCGCCCTCGAGCTGCTCGAGCGTCTGCGTGAGCGCGGAGGCCAGCTCCGGCTCGACGTACCTGCACGGCCCGCGGTGCAAGGACTCGGGACAGCGCGGCCGAGGCTGGCTGCGCCGCTGGCTGCGCCGCGGCGTCGGGCCGGGCGGGGGGGCGGGGGCGCACTCGACGAGGAAAGGCACGGAGCCGCCCCGCTCCACCACCTCCTCGACGAGAGAGAGGACGCCCTCCGCCGTTGCCGGCACCTCTCGCGCCGCGCGCGGCGCCGCGGCGGGCGGCGGCGGCGAGGCGGGCGGCGGCGGCGAGGCGGGCGGCGGCGGCGAGGCGCGAAGGAGCGCGTTGCAGAACTCGCGCCACGAGACGCGGCCGTCCTCGTCGGTGTCGACGATGGCGAGCAGCGCGGCCGCCTCGTCCTGCGGCGCCGGCTCCGGGAGCGACTGCAGCAGCGCCTCCACCTCTGGCAGCTCGATGAAGCCCGAGCCGTCCTACCGCCCGCAGGCCGCGCAGAGTCGTCATCTTTGGCTCGGCGCGCAGGAGGAGAGGGGAGGGGCGGGTGGGGAGGAGGAGAATGTGTGTGTGTCGGGGAGGGGGTGCGCGCGGGGGGGGGGGGGGGGGGGGCTCCTTGTCGAACTGCTCAAACGCGGCGCGGTACCTTGCGCCGGCAGCCTCGGCCTCCGCGTCAGGCGCTGCCACAACGGCCTCCTCCTGCGGCGCGTCTGCCGCCGCCGCCGCCTCCTCTGCTGCGCGCTCCTCGGGTGTCTTTGCCGCCTCGATGGCGGCCAGCCGCGCCTTCTCCGCCTCCTCCGCAGCCAGCCGCTTCGCCTCCTCCTCGGCGGCCGCCTTCTCGGCCGCCGCGCGCATCTTGTCCAACAGCGCTTGCTGCTTGGCCGCCTTCTCGGCCGCCGCCTTCTCGGCCGCCTGCTTCTCCGCCTCGCGTCTCGCCTTTGCCGCCTCGATTGAAGCCTTGCGCTCCGCCACCTCCTTGGCCGCCTTCTCCGCCGCCTCCTTCTCCGCCGCGAGCCGCACCTTCTCCGCCTAAGGGCCACACCATTCGCAGGGTCGCGGCTCGGGCGGTCTGCTTGGGCGGAGCGAGCGCCTGAGAACCTCGATGGCGGCGAGACGCTCGGCCTCGCGCTCTTCCTCGGCCTGCTTGATCATCGCCTCGCGCCGCGCCGCGCGTTCCGCGGCCTCTTCCGCAGCCGCCTTTTCGGCCGCGACCTTTCCTGCAGATGAAGCAGTGGGGGATATGGTGTGAGGGCCTGGCATGGACACACGCGCATGCGCGCGCGCGCACACACACACACCTGGCTGGAAGGTCCTGCGTAGCCAGCCACGGACAACCGACCGCTTGTACCCAGTCTCGCCAGGCTTTAGCTCGGGAGGTGGAGGCGACGGCGGAGCCCGCATCACCACAGCGCAGGAGGCACACGAGGCGTGGCGGTAGGGCTGGCTGCAGAATGGGCGCGCAGGTACAACGTTAAGGCTGCGGGTCTCGAACAGCGAGACGAAGAGAAGCGCGAGGCCCAGCTTCGACATTCAACTTGGTGGCCACGACGAGCGCGGGTGGCGGAGCGCTGGGCCACAAAAAAGAATTTTACAACAAAACTCCCTCGCACGACACTGGGCACAGGACTGGGCACGGGACTGGCTCGCACTGGCACTAACACAGGTACACCACGGGAACAAAAAAGAATTTAAGGCCTAAAGTCTCTCCCACAGCAGATCCCATCCCTCCCTTGGGTTGTGTGTTTTCTTTCTTTCTGTTCAGCAGACAGGCTCGACACAGGTGCGAACTGGCGCGTGCTAGTACTATCACCGGCACACCAGGCGAGATGCAGGATTTCATGAATTGCGCAGAGGGAGGGAGTCTCGCACAGCCCTGCCCCTCAGACCGCCCGAAAGGCGTGTCCGCCTGCCGCCGCCGCCGCCTCCAGCGCCGCCGTCTTCTCGTCGAATTCGCGCTGCAGCTCTGGCGACATGAGCTCGCGCCAGCCGCCCGTCTTGCCCTCTCGGAAGTGGTCCTTCTTGATGGAGCCGCCCTTCTTCAGCGTCTCCGCGTCGCGCGCCGCCGCCTCCGCCTTCATCACCTCGAAGCTGCTCCTCGCGGCGACCGCCTCGAGCTCCGCGTCGCTCCGCTCGAGCCCGAGGTGCGCGGCCACGCGGCCGACCGCGGCCTTCAGGTCTCGCTTGAGGTCCTCAAAGTGCACCACGAGCACCGTCGACGGGTGCGCGGCCGCAGCCTCCCACCAGCCGCGATGCCACGGCCAGATGCTCGACGACTCCACCTTGCCCCTCAGAAAGAGCGCGACAAAGTCGTCCCAGCCGCCGGAGAAGCCAAAGCCGGGGATGTTCTTCGTGTGGTGCAGCATCGACACCGCCGCGTCCTTGGGGTTGCGGCAGACGACGACCACCTTGCTGCCCGCCGCCGCTGCCGCCGCCGGCCCGCCCCGCCACGGCGCAGCCTCTGCGGTGGCGTGGGTCTTCCACGCGCGCCGCCCGCTGTCGCCCTCGGGCGCGGAGAGCGCACAGAGCGCCGCGCAGTCGCGCGGAGGCGTGCTCGACAGGCTTTTCATCGCCGCAGAGCCCTTGGCGGCGCGGCTCACAGACATCTCGAGCCAAGGCGCGTCCGCCATCGGGTTCACGTCGGCGGAGCCGCCTCGCAGGAGGAGCATGACGATCTGCTGCATCCAGGTCGTCCCGCACTTTGGATAAGTGGCGATGAAGACGTCGTGCGGCTTTGGCGCCAGCTTCTCCCGCAGCTCGTACACGGCCGGCAGCACAAAGTCGAACGGGTGGACGAGGCCGGCGCACGCAAGCGGGTGATCGCCGTCCGCCTCCTCAACGTACTTGTAGCCGCAGGCAGGGTCGGCCAGCTTCACGCCAGCAGCCTCCTCCTCGGGCGTCAGGACATGAGAGGACATCTCTAAGCCAGAAAGATGTTGCGAATGCAGTGGCGTACCTGGTACGGCTCGACCGGGCACCAAGAATTCTTGAAATACAACCAGAAGAAAACCTTCACCTGAAGAAAACCTTCACCCACGTCCCACACGTCACGGCGCGCAGGAGAGCTTGCGGCGGTGCTGTAGCGTGTACTCGCCGAGGGCATCGCGCCGAAAACCCCGCGCCCCCCAGCAGAGGCTGCAGCCTCTGCACAAGCAACACACTGACTGTATGTAAAAGGGTGAGTACTTGCTCTTTCTTGGGGTTGAGAGAGCTTGCTCCCTTCGCAGAGAGCAAAAGTGCAAGAAAAACTTTTGTTTTGCCTCGCTCTAACATAAGAGCTACATACATCCACTTTAGTGTTTAGATTAGATAGAAAGGCGAAGAACAGAGAGAGAGATTTTTGAACAAGGGTCAAGGCGAAAACCCAACAAGAAATCACGACTCTCCACTAGAAGCTCCGAATAGAGGGGGCGTCATGCAGCTAGGGGAAAGCCGGAGCGCAGGAACCAACCCTCGGAGAGTATTCTTTAGCTCCGAGTAGAGGGGGCGCGGTCTGCTGCTAGGGGGACCCAATGGAAACCCGCGGAGCGCGGAGCTAACCCTCGCGCCTCGGAGACCCGTGTTATGGCCCTGAGACGCTGAAATTTGAGGAACGCAGCATTAGGCTCGATTTCATAGGCCTTGAATTCAACCAGCAAGGCCAAGGGCCAAAAGTGAAATCCAGTGAGCTGACCGACATCGAGCTGAAAAAGATGTGGCGCCTTCCAGTGTCAAGAAGCCAGCTCCACCAGCAGGTTGCTGCATCGTGATGTGAGCGCGCTCGCCGCGCGAACGTCTTGTTCGAGCACGAGGAAGACGAGGTACGTACTCGGCGCGTTGATGGCATGCGACGCCTGTTGGCGGGTGGCGAGCATTCACACATGGAGCTTGTGTACCCAGCAGTCGCGACGAAGCTGCGTATGGATGATGTCTCCCGCCACCGCAGCAATGTACTTCGTATGTAGAACTGTACTGCTGGGGGGCCGTTACTCGGGTCCTTAGTTGTGCGCGGTGCGCGAGTTCTAACGAGTTTGTTTGAAGATGCTCAAGCGTAGGGAGGGCCCTTAGGGGCCTAGAGAACACAAGGTACACAACCCCCTCTCCCCTTTCTCCCAGTAAGCTAAAAGCCAGAAGATCGGCCCGCGAGGTGGGGTGCTAGTATGAGACCGATCCCCGTCGCAGTTCTCTTGCTCCAAGCGCTTGCGCTTCGGCGGTTAGTGGTGCACTAACCTCCGAGAAACCCTTCGGGTCGCTCCTCATCGCAAACCCTGTCAGCAGAGTCCTCCTACGGGAATGTACGTAAGAGCCACATACGAAAAAATGATGCCGTCAATCGCACGTCCCTGTCCAGCTGCGCTCCTCTGCTTCAGCGCTGAGAGACACACAAACTCACAAGACACTCAGCCAGTTGGGCTGCCAGCCTGCCACACATCCCGAGTATAGCGTACGGCACTACGCCACTCTGCACTCAGGGCCACGCCCCCCCTGTCCCCCCCCCAGCACCCACGGTGCCAAGGGCACAAACAACAGCAGAACAACACAGCAGGCGACAGGGGACGCCACGTGTGTGAGGCTAGAGCAGACTGCTCCGCCTCTAGCAATCTCGCCGGCCGCAAGGCACGGACGAGACCGTGTGTGGGTTCGTGTGAGGTGTCTATGGACGCTCTGCTCACAGGCTAGGGGCCTACCGCTAGCCCTCACTATACACTGAGCGAGCGAAAAGGGAGAGGGAGGCGCGCTTTCTGGAGAGGGAGGCGCGCTTTCTAGGCCCTTGGGGGCCCTACCACTCTACCACTCAGCGCAGTCGGAGAACGGGAGAAGCCGGTGAACGCGAATCTTCGGAGAGGATGGGGCAGTCATCACTGCCGCGCTCACTGGGTTCGAGAGATTGTGCGAGAGATTGGTGGGTTGAGAGAGCTTGCGTCGGAGTCGTTCCTCCGCTCCCGCACCTGTCGAGTGCAAGCTGCAGTTCCTTGGAGTCGAGGTACTTGGCCCCACTCAAGGTTGTAAGAGCGGCCATAACAGGTGTTATGGCTGTTTGGCTGGCTGCTCATAACACCTCATAACACCTCATAACACCTCATAACACCTCATAACACCTCATAGCACTCATAACACCTCCCACTGGTTGTCATGACAGCCAGCATAACAACCTCATAACAGCTGTTATGGTGTCGGCCGGAAAAATTCTTCTTTTGGAGCCTGTGTGTGTGCCAGTCCGCGCCAGTCCGCGCCCTTGTCGTGCCAGTGTGCTGTGAGAGAGGCTTGTATCTTAAGAATTCTTTTGGAGCCCCGCCCGGCGCGTAGCTACTACCAGTCAACCGGATGAAGATGTTCAAGAGCCAGAAGCCCTCGTCATTTGACCTGCGCGTCTCCGACTTCAAGAAGACTCAGCAAGAGGATTCCCGGCTTCAACTGTCCTGTCTGTGTCGTACGACTCACTGTTGCTCTGAGATCCGAGAGGCGTGGGCCATCGACGCGTCAAACGGCCTGCAAATCTACGCGTTTCCCGAGGGATCGAAGGACGAGTCCGCGACGTTTGTCAACACGCTGAAGTGTGATGGTGTTTCAGAGCGTCATGTCCGTTTGGTGATCCGAGGTTTGATGATTGAATTTAACTTGAGGGGGAAAGAGAACATATTTGGCGATCGATGCCGAACCTCTGCCGCGCGCGAGGCGAAAATTCCAGCGGCGAGCTGTTCGGCGTGGCCTCTCGGGGCCATAACACCGTGGACCGGGGACGGCTCTCTCATAGCAGCCCATAACATGGGCCCCATAACAGCCATAACAGCCATAACATGTTATGGGCTGCTATGCCCAGGGAGCCATAACACCATAACACAATAACTGTGTGAGTGGGGCCAAAGGTACCAGACGCCATCAACCTGCCCTGCGCCCTGAGCAAAGTCGAGGGCCTTTTCCCTCTCGGCCCGAGCCTGCGCGGCAGCGGCCTGGCGCGTTGCATTCTTCTTTGCGTTTGACGGCTTTTCTTCTTACCGCCTCCATGGCCGCCCGCTCCATATTGCCGCTCAAAAATTAAATATTCTTAGCTTTGCCCTTGCCTCCGACGCTAGAGACAGTCACCACGGATACATACGTCCGTGGGAGTGCCCCCCTCCCCCACCTGCCCTGCTTACACAGGATAGCATGCCCCGAGAACGGCGGCATTTGGCGGGGGGAACCAGGGAAGGAGGTTCGGTTTTTGCTTTTTCTTTGTGCTCTCGGGGGAATGTTCTCTCGGCGCCCATGGCCTTCTGAGGTTTCGTACTAATGACGTCCTTCTTGGCACTTCGGGCGTCGGTGTGTGCGTATCTGTGGTGTCTAATTCCCCCGGTATGCTATATAGGTTTCGAACGGCCACCTCCCTTTCACTCGCAGCGATTCCTTGGACCTTGCTGGATACCTTTCCGCAAGCGGAAGGTCGCCAGTTCGAAACCTGCTTTGACCCTTATATTTTTTCTTACCTGAGCGGGCTCAATTTTGCTCTAGGTGCCTCCTACGATTCGATCCCGCCTTCTCAGGCAGTCGCCTGGTGCGTTGTTCGTTTTCGTCACGGGAGGTAGCCCGACCTTCATATTGCCGCTCAAGTGCCCTGCCTGCACGCGCGGGGCAAGCAAGGGGCGCGCCACCAATTTGGCTAGGAGGGGCGGCTAACTTGCTCGTCCGGAAACCTGCCTCCGAAGAGGCATCTGCGATTAAGTCAGCATGCACGCTCAGGGTTGATGTCGTTCGTCGAGCGAGTGCACTCGTTCGTGTGTCACTGATTGCTCATGCATGGCCGGCGGGGCCGAGAAGTTGTGAATTTGGAAATCGGGCCAGCGAGCGCTTCCCTTGGGAGGAGAGGCGCTCTTAGTCTTACGCTTGAAGTAGGCAAAGTAGACTGTACCGTGTTTGTTATGACCCCCCCCCAATGAACACACCAGTGAGGGTGGGCGAGACGATCGAGGGGCCGAACCACTCGGAACCGACCCTATCCACTGAAAAAATGATGTCGATCGCACGTCCCCTTTGTGCGGGTGCGGGCACCTTCGCTTGGAACGTCCAGCCGCGCGCAAGGCCGTTCTTCTTTCTTCTGCGCTCCGCTGCCGTCCTCCGCTTCAGCGCTCTGCGCTCCGCCGCTGCCCAGCGCCTGATGAGGGCGCTCTGCCGGCCCATCCCACCGCTGGCTGCACCTCGGGCACGTCCGCCGCGACGGCTTGCGCACGAGCTCCTCCCTCGCATCCTCCAGGGCTCTGTGCTCCCGCCGCGTGTCCAGGATCTCATCACGACGCACGCAGAGTCGCTGCTACCGCCGCCAGCCGCGCTGCGCGTCAAGCTTCCTGAGCTCGGCGCGCGGCTGGACCGGGTCTTCTGCAATCGCGAGTTGAGGATGAACGACGTCAAGGTGATTGGCTTCGACTATGATTACACCCTCGTCTCATACAAGTGGGCCCTCCAGGATCTCGTGTACGAGAGGGCGAAGAACTACCTGCTACAGCGTCTGCGCTACCCGCCGTCGCTCGGCGAGTGCTCCTTCGACCGAAGCTTCCCAATCCGCGGCCTTGTCTTTGTAGACAGCGCCATTGAAGCTGTCCTGAAGCACACAGGTCATGAAGCGAAAAGGTCGTAAGCTGCCTTGTAGGACCGCCGCCACGGCGTCCTCATGAAGCTGTCCTACTCGCTCGCCATCCACGCAGACACGGTCCATCTCGGCCGCCGTCGACTCCAGCACGACGAAGTGATCGAGCTATACGGCGACGGGCACACCGAGCGCCCCGTGGCGGCTTGAGGAGTGCTCTGTGTTTGCATCCTCTTCTGTTTGCACCTAGGTTGCACGTGCCGATGGGCGAAATCTCAGAGCACATGATCATCCTCAACGACCTCTTCTCCCTCTCCGAGGCGCCGTGAGCTCTGATCCGCCGAAAGGGCCACCCCACCCGCCACCGGCCCACATCGCTCCTCGCGACAGGCGTGCCTGCTCGCCGACGTCGTCCAACTGGCGATCGACGCGGACATTCCTTTTGACCCGGCAGCGCTCGCCGCAGATGTGTCCTCGGCCATCAGCTGGGTCCACCTCTCCGGAGCGCTGCACGACACCGTCGCTGCAGACCCCAACCAGTACCTCGAGCCGAGCCCGAGGCTGGGCGAGATGCTCGAGCAGGCACGCCTCTCCGGCAAGAAGCTCTTCTTGATGACCAACTCCTCCTTCGCCTTTGCGGACGCGGGGATGCGCTTCTTGCTGGGGGACCAGTGGCAGAGCCTCTTCGACGTTGTCGTCACGCTCGCCCAGAAGCCCGCCTTCTATCGACGAGACTCCGCCTTCCGAGTGATGTCGCAGCACGGCTTCGTGAAGTGGAGTCAGGCGGAGCACGCCGACGTCGCCAAGGGTCGCGTGCTCGTCGGTGGTTCCCTGCGGGAGCTTGCTCGCCTGACAGGATGGACAGGCAGACAGGTTTTGTACGTCGGGGACCATCTGATGGCGGATCTGGCGGAGCCGCGGCGGCAGGCCGGCTGGGCGACGGCGGCCATCGTGCGAGAACTGGAGGAGGAGCTTTTGATACAGACGACGGAGCAGTACAAGGACTACCACACGCGGGCGCTCGCGGTCAGCTCGATGCTCCGCCGGCTGCAGAGCCTGGACCTGCCCGAGGAGGAGCGGGACGCCGCTCTCGACGCGCTCGAGGCTCTCTCTGTTTTGCTAGGTGGCGGCTTGGGGAGCCTCTTGCAACCTCGTCTGTTTGCACTTAGGCGGAGCGCCACAGAATACGCTGCTGCGCGCCCGGGCTGTATAATTCAAGCTTTGGCTCGGTCTTCCGACACAATGCCGACTCCACTGCTTACGCCTTCGCCCTGAAACAGCACGTCGACCTCTACACCTCGCGGTTGGAAAACCTGCTGGCGTACTCGCCTCACCACCGCTTTTACGCGACGCGATGCAAAATCCTGCCGCACGACCCTGACTGACTCCGAGAGGCGAGAGCTGTGTCAGACGAGGTGTTGACGCGGTTTCTCGGATTCTCTTCTCTTTGAGCTATTCCAGCTAATTCGTACAAAAACAACCCCGGGGCCATTTCGCATTTGTGATCGCACATGGGCTAGTGCCATTTCACTCCGCTGACACGCTAATCTTGAAAACGTCTCCAACGGAGCTCCGTGTTGCTTCCAGCGCCCTCCCCCGCGCTCCCTGCGGCCATGGCCGATGCTCCTAGAAAGAGAGGTCATCTGGCTACCGCGAGAGCGACCCAACTCGTCGACATCGTCCGATGATGGTGCCGCAAAGTCAGCCTTCGGAGGCTATCGTGGGGTCGAGCCGGCAGTAGCCGTGACATGTGGTTCCACCACCCCTCGTAGGCTTTGCCTCTGACCGCCACCGTTCCCAGGCTGCCTAATTGGATGGAAAGGAAGGCTCGGCGAGCGTATAGAAGCGTGCTCGACCTCGTCGTGGCAACCTGTACGGCAGCGCTGGTAGGCGCGATGAGCGTCGTGCCACCTGACCCGAGACGGGTCGCAGGCGTCGTACCGAGCGCGTAGAGACCGTGTCCTGATGTGATCTGCACG